TAAAGCCTCATTACAAGATTACATTGTCATTTAATTTTTGGAGGTAGTACAAGTTAAATAATTTTAGAATTGATTAATGGGATAATTATGAGTTCTATGTATATTTAGAATATTAAATTGTACACTAAAGTCAATACTCTCATAGTACAAGTAATTCAAATATTTGTGGATATAATGATGAAGTATTTCCAATATCAATAACAATTCCAAATATTATGCCTGCTATAACAGTTATTTTTATGGCATAAAGAGCTTTTTGGGGAATATCAGATATGACTTTAGAAGCAAAGTTATGTCCTTAAGATGTTAATCATGTAGTGAATATGGATGTTTTGATTAATACCTTCATTTTATTTCAATAAATGGAATGTTATAAAATTCAATTAGCACAAATGATGGTTGGTTAACAAATACTGCAATTTAAACTATTATCATAACTTATCTCTGTAATTTTATTTTATTAATTTAGAATCTCGTTATCTAGCGCCATAAGGAAATCATTTAGTGAACATAATTAATTTAAATCATCACTAGGCAATAAGTTTACAATTTATAATTCCAGTCCAACAGATATTAAAATAGCTAATGACGATCTCATAGTATGATTGATCAATAATTATAGCTAATACCTAAAACATATTATTATTTATTATTTATTATTTTAAAAAAAACTTATATTAAGAAACTAATATACAGAAGGTTGGATAAAATAACATGGTTTTGGACATAGATTCATAAAATTAATTAGCATACATTAATATCCTCATATTAATAGCCAAGCTAAAATAACTATTGAAATAGCATGGACATGAAAGGAACCTACTTTGTAAATATTTTTTGGAATCAGAGATTTTCAAGTATTTTAAAAATCTTCTCTTTTTGAATTTGCTTGTAAAGATAATAATTTGATTCCATTTGATGGATGCTTTTAATAATATTATGATAGTGTAGAAGGTTGTAGTAATTGTATTAGAGGATTATGTTTAGATTGTAAATAAGGTTGGAATTTGTTGAAAATGATCAATATTGTGTTCAAATCTGTGGAGATTTATAAATTACTTAATTAGAAGAATGTGATGATGGGAACAACATTCCATATGATGGTTGTCATTTATGTAAATATTCTTGTCCTTTGAATTGTGAAATCTGTTCATTTGGTGAATGTTTGGAGTGCAAAATAAAATATTAGTTAAGTTTAAATAAAAAATATTGTTAACCATTTTGTTATAATGGAATATAAATTACTCATAATATTTTTGATAAATAAAGTAATAATTAATTAGAAATAATCAATATATGCTAATAAAGATGTCTAATAGAATTTAATTTATGTATAGACGATAAATGTCTACATGCAATGAAGGATGGTAACTTTAAGATAATAAATGTCAGTAAATTTGTGGAGATGGATTAAATGCTATTAATTCAAATAGAGTTATGTGATGACGGAAATTATAATGATGGTGATGGTTGTTATGATTGTTAATTTGAATGTATAGAAGCTATGTGAGATAGTATCTGGATGCAGAAGTTGTTCTGATAATATTGATCATAATTTTGGTTTATTAAAAATATACACATAAATGAGAATATTGAAACAATGGCTATAATTTCTAATATGGCTCTTGAAAGTATGGAAGTTAATCAGAAAATCATTTAGAAGTAGAAATTAAAAGGAGAAAAAGACAAGCTTAATATGCAGATTTGAATTATACTAAACTTTAAAAGACAATAATAAAAAAGATTGACTCATAACGTCAATTTTTGAGATAATACATAAGTTATATATTATACAGATAATTATCATTACTTTAATTTGAAAATTAATAAATATTATATCTATTTCGGATATTTTTATTGACATAAGCAACATTATAATATGATAATACATAATAGTCTTAATTTCTCAATATGGTACATGATAAGTTTTAAGATATATAATTACTTTTAAACTTCAACAGATTAATTGAGAAAGGTATTAAATTGCTTAGAATTA